TAAGCACCCCCTGAAAAAGCATGATGTCTGTTATGTAGCCTATATTTGTTTGCTGTTAGTTGTAACGAGTGTTTTTTGTTTGTGTAATTCGCTGTGTTATGTTGATGATTGTGGCGAGCAGGACGAGGGCTGTGAGAGAGCGGCGTGAGGCCGGTGGAGTGATTACTGCGTGACGCACCAGTCTCGTATCTCTCACGGAGGAGCGGAAGCATAAAAGGAGGAGCGATGACAGTGAAGGACGAGAGAAGACCAGGACTGGACTGTTTTATTTGATGTTTTGTTTTATTATATATGGCAGCAGTCATCCGTGAGGTGCTGGCGTCTTTACTTTCATTTTGTATTGGTTTATTTTATTATTAAAGTTTGTTGAATGTTCGCCGGTTCCCGCCGACTTCTTCCCAAAACATCTAACTACGTTACAATGATATTGCAAGGGGGAGAGAGAGTTTATAGATAAGACTTTAATGCGCACTTCTTGTACTGTGTTTTATTCAGCTCTTACAGTGATTTTCTGGAGTGAAAACAGACGCTTCATATTTTGTGTGATGTACAATAAAATTTAAAAGATTTGGCCAACATTCGGACGGGGTCTGCTACAACAGGATAAAACCTGGTTACCATGGCAGCAAAGGCACACCAGCCAAATAAGACTGGTTTACGATGTAAAAAAAAAAGAGGAAGACACAGGCCATAGGACAGACATACAAGGCCCATAAAAAAGGACGTCTTTCCATTATTTCATCGTCAAACTTTCTATGAATAAACATGCATATCTCCTGGACATTGTGTGTATGATTATTACTGTCTTGTATGGTGTATTTTTGTATTGTATACTGTTTTATGCATACTTTATGATAGAACCACTAGTTAATGTAACATCACCTATACCATGTTTGATATCTATGAATTTCTATTTTAATTATCTGAACGATAATCATTTGTTCTATGTTGATATCTATGCAACATATTAATATTACAATACTTTTTTATAGTTTCTCCATCAGTACCCAATCTAGTTACAAATGCAATACAGCATGATCAAGACAAAGGGTCTTAAACTTTCCCTCCGAAAGTTAAAGTTACTATTGGCTCACTGACCCCCTGGAGGTATGAGTTCCACAGAAGTTAAAGGGTGCTGTCAGGGTGACCTCCTTTTTCCTGAGACTGCACCCGGAAGCTTGTTCAACGGCTAATGGAAGTATTGTACATTTAACTAACTAAACAGAGGTTTAATATAAGCCATAGACCCCTTGTTAGCAATGTGCTTTGAAATAAGAAACCAATTCTGTTCAGATGGTAAAATGACTCTTTTCCATAGCTTCATTCCCCTGTTTCTGTTTTAGATTTCATTCAGTCACTCTCACTTTCCATAATTCACATGTATGCATTATTGTGTGTATATGTTGGTTTAGATTAGATTAGAGTTATTGCTTGTAAATCAACGCACCCTTAACGATGTGATCGCAGCTGTGAACGAGTAATTTTTCTGTGGCCGTGAAAATTCTCCTTTCTGAGTGTTGAAAGATTATTAATACTGAGTGTTCGCTGGACGAACAGATTAATTGATTATAATATTAATTTGTATTAATTGTAATAGTTAATAATTATATTAACTGATCGAAATATTTATAATTAATTATAATTATTTTGAGCTAATTTTGAGCTAAATTGCTACAACATTATACACCACACTTTGTTTCAGCATTTATATTGAATCTCAACAGCAAAGTGGCATAACTTGGCTTAGTCTTTCTTGCTGTCTTTTTTGACAACCTGTTTCTTAGTAATGGTTGGTTAGCTGTAGACTGCTCTCCTGGAGTAAATTGGCTTTCCAGCACAGGGCTGAATTAGAACCTATTTGTGAGCAGGGCTGCAGACATGATTAGCTCAGAGTAGAAATCCATTACCCATCTACAGCTAGTTGACATGTTGGTTTCTGCAACCACCACAGTAAACACAAGCACCAATAATGCTCACGAAAGCCAATGCATGTTAAAGTGGGGTTTTTCAACGCTGGGGAAAAAGTGCTCATGAATTTAAGAGAGTATACATTCACTCTAAGGCACTTGATTTTCTTCCATCTTTATGGCTGTATTTTTAACCTCTTAACCAGCGCCCCATTTTTTGAGAATTTTCTGAAAATGACATACCAAAATACAAATGTCTGTAGCTCTTAAACCCTATGGTCCACATTCATAACTCTGATCTTTTTTTAAACTAGACACTTGAAACTTTGTTACCCAAGAGTCATTATTACTCAAAGTAGCATAGGAACAGAGTAAAACAAGGTAAAATTTACATGAATGTGACTCACGATTTCTTTTAATTAACTTCACTTAGGGAAAAAATGATCAGACTTTTATGTTAAGGGCCTGAAAACACCATAAAGATAAAATTGAATGTCTGACCATGTTTAGATTCAAATTTGAGGATGATACTCCCAAAAATGTAGCTTCTGTAAGCTTTTATTCAAGAAAAGTATAGGCGTCCTTTCCAAAATGCAATTTGGAGACTCCAAATGGACACCTGGCACCCAAACACTTTACATAGGGAGTAAACACTATAGGTCTGCAACAACAATTCAGAACTGTTATGCCCTTCAAACCACACAAGAAAAAAACGATTTCAGCACAACATTTGAACATTTTACCAAAATTATCTTTATTTTGAACAATTCTAATAGCAAAAACAGTGATTTCTCACTACATGTATAGACATTGCAGAAGTGTTCATTTTCCAACTAATGTATAAAATATATAAAAAGAAAAACATAAATGTTTTAGAACATTTGTAATTACAAACGTGGTTTTTACCCAAATAAATTGCAATAAACTGATACTTATAATGAATATCCTATTACTTCCTGTTGCTCTTCGTCATTTTCTGCAAAAAAACCTTCAAATCTCTTCTGTAGTCGACGATCCATGATACAGATGCTCAGATATAAGCTTTAGAGTAAATCCGTGCATTTATGCAAGCTCCATGTGTCAAAACATCGCGTTTATGTGTCTGTTTACATTCTGGTCGGCTTACTATGTGTGTGCGTGCTGCGCGCGTGGCGAAAGCGCACATGTGAATGAAAACTTTGCGCAGTTGAATTTGACGAATGTGCTTGCATGAACTGTCTATCACTGCAATCGATTTTAGTTGGCTAATACTCCCATCAATCAAAACGTAGCTCAAAGGACATTGGATAGCATTATCCAGGCTTTTATCCAGTCGAAAGCCCAGCTGCGCGATGGACAGCGCGCTCAGCCTGTCAGGGACTCTCTTACTGTTTTGGTCTGTAACAGAGCCTGTGATTGAAGGACAGAGAAGTAGGATGTATCATTCGATCCGGAAGAGTCTAAACTGCGGGGGTGAGATGGCTTTTGAGTGTTGGAATATGGATTAGAATCGATATTTCTTTGAAAATGAACATGATGCGAACTCTATCTCGAAAACGCTCATGAAAACAAAGGAGGATATTTCATTTTTTTTCCCCTATTTTTCGTTGTTTTGGATTAAAAAGTGGGATGCATTTTGAAGAGTGGACCCTTACATTGAAATGTATGCTGTTGTTTCTTGGATTCTTCCGAACTGATCTGAACCATACGAGATGAAAGATGAGTATAGCGGTTCATTTTTCTCATTTTCAAATGAGCAGTCCTTTTGCATTTTATTTAACCCTTTCCTCTCTGGTGTATTGATTGCAAAAACAAGTCTAGAACATGGTTCTTGAGTGTTTTAGCTTTCAAATGATGCATAGTTTATGATAGTCAGATGAATATTTGTTATAAAACAAAGCTTAAAAAAGGTAATAAAAGTATAGCCACGCCCTCGACGGCCCGCTCGCGGGCCGATGCGGGGTTAAAAAAAAAACGGTATTAATGTGTCTGTTTGTCACGAAGGAAGGCCCTTGAGACTGTCCTAAGTCAGGTGCTGTAGCACGAGGGTTAGGGAGGAGTTAGGAAGGTATGGCATGACAAGATGATTGGCGGTGCAAAAATAGATCATTTATTAATAATCCAAAAACAATCCGTGCAAAGTACAAAATAACAAAAAAAAAGAAATAAAAATTACATGATGAATGCTAATGAAGCAGCACTATAACCTCTGTCCATTAAACACAAAGGCAAATTGCTGATACAGCTCTCTATCAACAATAGAACTCACATAATGTTATACTCTTGTAACAGAGCAAACCACCAACCCCCCTTAACACTAGAACTACCGGAATTCTATAACTACTAGAACGACCATAGCGGTCATTCTGACCGCTCATACTTTGACGTTCATATTGCCGTACTGAACGTCATTTTCGTCATGCCACAACTACATTTGAACCTTCTTTTTAAGTTTTCCGATGAAACATTTAATTCCTGTCGTCATGTTATGACGTCATCACCATTAAAACCGCTTAAAACAAACATTGGCCCGACAGGTGCTGCCTCTGAGGAAAGTTTTGCGTCAAAAAAAATTTTTTTCCCCGCACTTACCACGTGAATAGACATGCAAAAAGTTAGGAAACGTCAAAGCTTCATGCCGTTTAGTACAGCCCTGTTTCTAAATAAGTTCAATAATCAATACAAAATCTAAAAATAAATGGATTTACAATGTTAAGATAGGTAATAATAAAGATCAGGACACAACATTTAAATTCAAATGAATGTGAACATTTATTTTCCAGCCTAATTGATAAATATTTTCTTATTTTCTTTGTACAATAAAAACAAATCTTATGAAACAATAACTTATAACATATATACAATAACAAAAACACTACATACATTTCATTACACCGTAAAAACTTTCATGGACAGTACGCAGCACAATACACAAAAACAGGTTAAGAAAAAACATGAACATTAGCTAGACAAAAAAATGAACTGATTTAGAACGATTAGTTTCAGTAAACAAAAAAAAACAAAAACAAAAAAATTAACGAACAAAATCAGGTTGACAAGTTTTCCTCAAAGCTCATTTGAACGGCACAAACACCCCGTATCATTCACTGACGCTTACGCACAGTCCACACAGGTAAACACCGCCTTTCGTGTGCAGCTCCCACACACCACTTTACGACATTTGGCACATGTCTCCTTGGTTTTATTTTGTTTGCAGTTCCTCCTTACTTGGCACTGCCGCCTTCTCTCCATCTGCTGCTGCTCCTGCCCGGGTCCTGGCTCACGCACCACAAGTTGTGAGGTTTTTGATCCCATGTGGTCGGAACGAAGTTCGCTCGCCAGTCGCGTGATGAAGTCCCTCCGCGAAACATGCTCATTTGTGCACTTATTGTACAATATGTGTGCGTTGATTGCAGCCAGGTCGAGGATGTTATAGAACACAGCTACTGGCCATCTACGGGAGGGTGCTTTTACTGAATATTTTCTAGCCATTTGATCTAGAACGTCTACTCCTACCTTGGTCTTGTTGTAGTATGTTACCGTCTCTGGCTTTCTTTTCTGGCCACTTGTGATGCCAACAGCTGTGTGGACAGTGCTGAGGATGCAGACATTCTTTTTTTTTTTGCCCTGATACACGGTCAGTGTTGCATCGCCACTTTTCAGCACCTCTGTGCTGAACAGCGGCTTTTGCGCCTTTACGCACGGGGGGAGCTCTCGTCTGCTCTTGTTTACCGTGCCAACCAAGCTGGTTTTCTTGGCCTGAAGTGCCTTTGCCAATTCAAAAGAAGTAAAAAAATTGTCGGTGGTCACATTTCTTCCCTTCCCCAGGTATGGGTCGACCATTTTCAGCACCACACTGTCTGCAAGTCGTTGACCTGGCCTCCTCGTCTCGTCTTTGCCCAGATAAGGCGCACCGTTTACCATATATTTGGTGTCGACATCCGCAGCAAGCCAGAATTTGATTCCGAATTTGTCCGGTTTGTTTGCAATATACTGTATGAAACTGCACCTTGATTTTGTAGGGAATAGCTGCTCATCCACAGTGATGTCGGCACCAGGCTTGTAGCAGGCGATGCAGTTTTGGACAAATTTATCCCAAACATCACTCATAAGGGCAAACTTGTTGTCTCGCAAGCGTGTGCGTCGGGTTTCCCTTTTGTCGAAACGAAGGAATCGCATTATTTCCTGAAACCTGTTTCGGGACATGGTCTCCTTGAAAAAAGCGCAGCCCCACTCGGCTGACCAAAAGGTCGCCAAATCCATCCCTTTTCCACCTTGCGCGCCACGAATGTAAATTAAACTAATGAAGGCTTTTAGCTCTTCGATTGTCATGTCCCATAGGTTGTCCTCCTTGACTCGATGGGCCTCAGCCACGGTGCAGTCCCTGATGTGTTTCAGCATGCCATCATCCACCAAACACAAAAAGGCTGTAAGGGCATCTTCAATATTGCGCTTGGCGTGCGCTGTGGGGCCTGCTGCTTCAGTTATTACATTTTGGCATTGTCGCCTTCCTCTGTCTTCACCCAACTCTACATAGGTCCACACTGTGCCGTCTTTCGCCGTTTCACGCCTTTCGGCTGAAAGGGGGTTTATTGGGCCAGGCTCCTCATCTCGTGGCGGACTGTGTTGTCTTGGCACAGAAGGCACATTTGAAGGATCAGGATTTTGCACTATTGCCAAAAAAAGAAAAGAAAAAAGAACAGACTAATTACTTTTTTAGTTCATGAAATCATAATCTTGATAATTAGTCCTTATGATTTCTAATAGCCTGACAATATAGTATTATAGGCTACTAATAATAGCAATAGAATAATAAAAATGAAAAGGTGTGTGTGCCGGTGGAGGTGTGTGCCTGACGTAAAAATCTGAATGAATGGATCGGTCATCAGGAAAGTTGCGTGTTTGCGTCGGTAACAGCGGTGGGTGTTAAATAAGTTAATATGATAACCGATCTGATCGGTAAAGTTATAGCCTACATTAGATAGTTAGAGATGGTTAACTTTACTTTGAAGTTACGTTACAACTATTATTGAGCTAGTCTGCCTCGCAAAGTATAAAAATATAGCTAGAGAAGAAGAGAAACATACCTGGAATATTATCCGATGGAACAAGGTCAGTTCCAGGATCGGAGATGTCCAGCCGGCTCTTTTTTCGACGGGGAATGAATTCATTATCTGAATCACTCTCAGCGCTGGATGAACTGTCTAGGGACCAAGAGACATCGCTGTCCCTATCCGTAACGTTACCTGCTCCTCCATCAGACTCCTCATCGTCAAGCATTCTAAGCATGGCTAAAACCTCTGTGGCTGTCATTGTTCTTTTTGATGACATTTTGTTAGCTAAAATGTATAATATTTATAGCGTAAATGTATAATATTCATAGCGTTGGAATAGCGTAAACAAAAAAAGACAAATCGTTGCTATGCAACGGGGACATTCGTTACAGTGGCGGGAAATGTAGCGGACTTATGATATCTATAATGCGTGCGGTCAAAATGACCGCCATGGCCATTCTAGGTAGAAATACTCAGAACTGTTTTGTGTTTTTAATAAAATAACAGTGTCAGAATAAAATATACACATATTTAGGAAAAGTCAGAGTCATACAGCCACATGGATTTTATTTTAACAAAGTTATTACACTGTAAAATTCAAAAACGGTCAAAATGACCGCCTTGGGAGTTCTAGTGTTAATAGCCGGAACACGCCGGTTAAATACACACACTTCCCGCCAAACGAAATTAGGAAGTACCTTTTGTACAGGGTATCCTTTTGGCTTAATAATGCACATGACAATAATGACATTAAAACAAACACATCTTTTACAAAGACGAAAAATACCATTAGTTCAGCTTAAACCAAGTAATGTTACCATAAGAAACATACCTTAAACAGAACAAACATTTCCCTCCTCACCTATACTGCCTCCCCCAGTTGTGAGAAATGGTATGACCCATGCTATGATAAGCGCGTTCCGGTTACGCGCGCTACCGGAACGAGCAGAGCAGAAACCAGCAGGTAAGCACATACAATACCACAGAGCTATATCATGTAAAATTACTAATAAACAGTCTGTAAAAACATTTGACTACTTGTGATTTCTTATACTTCCGCGAGTGCTAATGGTAATCAAAGAATTTGAACTTTAATGATGTTACTGAACGTAAGAATTGTGGGGTTGCCAACGTCCAGAGCTAATTGTACACGGGATACAGAAATGAAATATGAATAAAGCGCTTAAACAATGTACTTGGCAAACTAAATATAGCAACAATTACCACACATTTGAGACATACTGAAATGGTGATGATATCAACACAAAGGTTCATCATCACACTGTTGTACTGAGAATCTTATTGAAAGTGCAAAAAGAAAAGTCTAATAAATGATGATGATCGTCTACACAAATTGCATTTAAAGTGCGTACTGCATTAAAACAGTCCTTGTCATTTTTGCACATGTACCTCACAAAAGATACATGGCCGTGTAATTACCTCACTTGACAATGTTTTTTTTCTCCAAAAGTTGCTTTCGACGGCCTTGTCGACCCCAACAAAGCACACTGTCAGAAAAACATAAAAGACAGTGAATCAATTAGATAAAATAGTAGACTCACACAGAGATCTGCACACTTTAAGCCGACAGTGCTATATGCATAGTTTAATGAGACATAGAGTCACAACGGCGATAGAAGAATAGGGAAAATAATGAAAAAGAGGGAGTAAAAACTGGAGGTCTCATTATAATTCAAGAAGGCCTGTGTGAATATGACCTTTCCTCTCTGCACTCCCTGCAAGTGTGTTGTATAGCTAAATCATATCCATGGGATCATTATTCACAAGACCCTACATGTTATACTTTTCTTACCTTCAAGGGGACAGAGACAGCAGCCTTATTTGATATATTTTGACCAAGACTCCAGCATATGGTGCAATGATTTCCATAGATCCAGATAATGTATCTGCACATGTTTATTGTCAATAAAGCAACCATTTTTCTTCCCTCGCAGGCCATTCTGTGTATGAGTGTTACATTGTGTGAGTGTAATAGTAGATTAAATTATATTGGATTATATTAGATTAAATTACTTGTAACTTTATCGTCATTGTGCAGAATACAAGTACAATGCCACTGAAATATTAGTTCAGTCATGAAACTTTAAATGGCACAGGATGATAGGTCATTTACATGCACCTGCAAGCAATCACATTACTTTTTACACGGCACAAACTGATTGGCCTCTGCTGATTCTGCAGCCAATGGGCTTGATGAACATTTAAATAGTTTGTTCCAGTATTTGCTGTAAGCTGATTCTTTCTCTGAAAAACTCCAGCTCCAACTGTCTAGATCTTTTACAGGATTTATGAATTCCAAATATGCTAATACAAAATACACAAATATTGTCATATTCATTAATATGCTAAAACTAATCAGATAATTGCCATGATTAAAATATCACCAGCAATTCAAATAGCAATATATTTTCGCATTAATTCGATTTTTTTCAGCTGGCCTTTCTGTAGTTTGCAATGTTTATCCAATAGACTGCCACAATTTATCTTTATCATAATATCTTTATGAGTGAGTAATTGAATCATTTACCCAAACACACTGATTCAGGACCGGAACAGCACACCACACCACACCACACCAAAATACTACATAGATGAATGAATGTTATGTGTGCTTTGACTTTGTTTGAAAATTATTTTCGTTGACAGACCAAAAACAGACACTGACAGTAACTGACACTATTCTAAAAAAGTTATTCCATGGTTCCACGGTTTAAAATCAATATCATGTTACTTTGAACAGAAATGCTGAAAGATATGGCAGATTCATTGGAAACTTTTACATTTATCAATGTAAAGATGATATTCATTCAGCCTTGATGTTTTACTGTACCTGAGGATTATGTCTGTAATCCTGCCCATTATCCACAGTATCATCAGGATTCATATCTCACCTTGTTGATTAATTATATCAGTTGCCATTTTCATACCTCCTTGAAGACCTCTTGAAGGGGTAGATTTGCTGGGCTCTATTCACTTATTCACAGTACATGCAGATACATCTTGCATCAGTTTTTTAAAAACAATCAGCCTTTTTATTCATGAAAATTCTGTCATATTTAAGATGTGATTGATGTAGATTATACTGTAGGTGTATTATACTGTACAGTGATAATAGTGATGATGCTGGTAACAATGATAGTTATGCAATGAAAACTCAGCTACTGTTCCGTCTTTTTTTCTTTCTTTTTTTTGCTCCACCTGTGTGTATCAGCTTCCCAGCTATTAGTTGTTAGATTCCCTTCTTTCAAACTACTTTGCGACCTTCCACACGACCCCCATTCACCCTGTAATAGATTCTGTAGGCAGTTTATAAATGCGCTACAGCCAAACAACTGTGCTTGATCTTTTCAGAACAATTGATTCAGCACTGAAAAAACGACCAAGACTTCACAAGATTTAGTAGCAATTTCGGTAACACTTTATTTTACGGTGTACGTGATACAGTGTAATTACTTAATTAATTACTTAGTATTAGACGTTGTAATAACATGTAACACAATGTAATTAACATGTAACTAAGTTATGGAACCGCCTGTACTTACAGATTGAAATTGTATTGTGGTGAGCTAAGTAGTTGTTTCTTTGTGGAATATACAGTAGCAAGCATTCACCATACAAAACCAAGTAATGATGACAATCAGTAAACATTATTTAGATTAAAAAATACATAAATAAGTAATGAAGATAAAAAAACAGCAAAATAAGCCAAAGTAAATACATGTAAAATCTCAGGGTCATTAAGCAAAAACAACTTTCAGTTTTAAATTGTTAAACGTTCAAAATTTTTTTTTTTTTTTTTTTTTTGCCATGAAGATGTGAAAATGGAATTATGATGAGGCAACTGTGAATAATAAAGTAGATACCTAAGCAAATCTAAGTGTCTGATACAAAATATTTATCAGTGTGGTTGTGATTGATTTGTGTTATGCACAGTACTCACCTGGTGAGTTCCAGTAGTAATGATAATTGGGTAACGCTTCCTTTTACAGTACAGTACTTACGTGTACTTACAGTGTACTTACCTAGAAAGTACTAGCTAATATAAGGTAAGTACATGGGTTAGGGGTAGGTTTAGGGGTAGGTTCAGGGTTAGTGCCTAGTTATTACCCAGTAATTGTAATTACTATAATAAGTACATAGTAAGTACATGGGTAACAGGACTGTAAAAGGAAGCGTTACCGATAATTGCATGTCCTGAGAAAAAACAAAAAAAAAAACATGAAAGTGGGTTTTATCTCTATTGGTTATTGTGGAGTACTATGGGATTGAATGAGTGCACTCGATGTTCACTATGGTTTCGGACACCACAACAAATTGCTATACAATGCACTATATAAGTGTACAGAGGGCAATTCCGTGTGCAGATAACCATGCTAGTAACATATAATTAGAAGGCTGTTATAAAAATGGACTCTTTACCCAGTGTTGTAAAGATTATAGCACTCCTTCACACAGTCTCTAATGAACCCACTGGACTGGCTGATGGAGGGATTTGGGCTTATTAATAGTACAACAAAGCTGGAGAGAAATTGTGTAGTTGTGGGCGTTAGTAGTAGAGTGTGTGTGTGTGTGTGTGTGTGTGTGTGTGTGTGTGTGTGTTTTGGAAGGCATTAGTGCAGACAAGCAGCTTCTCACGGTGGCAATTAACACTTAACGAGATGTGATAATTAGTCTGTTTGGATATCCTTGCCAATATTCTTTCCTCTTCACTCTCTTTGAGTTATTATGCTGTGGATACTGGTGATCACTGAATCCCTCCAGCTAACCCCCCTGCCCAAACTAATACAGGCAATTGACAGCAGTGGAGCCATACATTTCTGTCAAGCTCAACAGAGTGTTCTTAATCATCTTAACACATGTAACCAGAGACAACAGTATGAACCAGCCACACAAGTAGCTTCATCTGCCCTGTCTATAAATGTCCTTTTTCTCATACAAAATAAACCCCAAGTGTGTGGGTGTGTGTGTGTGTGTGTGGACCTGGTAAACAATTAAAGGCCCACAGAAGTGCCTTGGAACACGTAGCTTTGTATGATGCATTGACGTAATTTCCACTGAAACAGGAAGCTAAAGCGGGACATATTGAATGGCTCCTCCCCCTTTTCAAATAGCCAATAGCGTTTATTTACTTCACAGACTGCAAGTCGTACTTGGCAGCACCATGGAAGTGAATCCGAGCACTAATGATACGTTGGATTCAATAGTAGAGGAGTGAATAAATTCTAGCAATTTCATTCT